ACCGACTAGTGAAACCACATACTCCTACCCATAGCGAAACCACAGCCAATGTATACTCTAAGCCATAATTAGAAACAATAACGAGATTCCCACTGTCCCTATCTACTATCTAGCTAAACCACAGCCATGGGAACGGGCTTGGAAAAATATAGTTGAAATCTAGCATGACCTGGTTATCAGGGTATTGTGAATATGTCGGAGTTTGTGGTGTTGGTTGGAGGAAGGATTTACAATTTGAAAGTTTATTTCATTAAGTTTTAATTTGAAACCAGTGTATCATATGGGTAGGGGAAAAATGTTATAACTGGTGGTTCACATACTAGCTTACCATTCACTGGTTCTTCAAAAGGACAAACAAATGTGGTCATTTTGCGCGATGGAAAACTAAAAAATTATAATGATAAAGAATGGAGAGTGTGTATGAAAGCTATAGTTCATTAATTATATATATATATATATAATTCATTGTTATAAATAATTCATTAAATGATAAAAATTGTTATGTAGATGGAGAAAAAATAAACTGAAATGCATTTGTTATGTTTTGATACGATAATTATTTTTCATATTAATAGTAAGTTTCTTAAGAAAAACGTATTAGTTCTCAGTTTTAGGCGTACTTTTGTTTCATTTTGTTGCGTGCCCTAGTCATGTAGAGTACGTACGTACGATTTTTTATAAGTGAACAAGTTACAGAGAAGAGAACTGTCATTTTAGAAACGAGTCCTACGTCATCCTGCTTCGGTTTGTCCTTAACGTGGTCGCTTAGCAACAACTTTTAAACACAAACATCCTTTCAATGAGTGTTATGATGATGACTGAACGAATTAATACAGATGAAAACATCAGCCTGAAAGGTATGTCTGGAAAATATAGTTTATCAACGTTCACATAGAATTATAACTTTGGTAATATACATGTGTATACATACTACAAGCGCGAGGTTTCTTGGTCAATTAGTCTGTAGACGGTTGCTAAAACTGTTAACGAAGGCTGCTAAATTAAATAAAAACAATATGGAAAACACAAATAGGTATCATGTTTTTGAATATTTTCTTAACATTTATTTCAGTTTAACTGCAGGGAATCGCATACCATTATATTGTATTGTGGTATATTCCATTAGTTGAGAGTAAAGATATAAGCTAGCTTCAGAAAACACAGTTCAGGCGAGTTTTGTTTAATGTGAAACACTACACCGATCTAATCACATTAGTATTGGGCCAGGTGTGGCCTAGTGGTTAGTTCCTGGATTGTGAATCCGAGAATTCAGGTTTCGCGACCTATTGCCACAAAATCGCACTCCTTACTTTCAAGTCGTGAGTGTGGTATATGAGGGACGGTGTAATCCCACTTTTAATTCAAATGAAAGAAACACAAGAGTTTAAGGTGAGCTGTTGACCCACATGTCTTCCTCTAGTTTATCATTTCATAATTAGGAACGGCTATGCACAGATAGCCCTTGCGCGAAGTTCTGAAACATACAAACACATTATTATTTATATTTAAGTATGTTGTCATAAAGCATTTTGTGTGAAATTTTAGCGCTTCTGGTTGAAATTGTCTTTAAAATCAGAAAACGTCGCCGCCGTTGAATCTGGTTTAAGATGAAACTTTAAAATTCACATATATATAACCAATACTTACAGTACTGATTTGTATTTTTAGGCTTTTCAGATTTTAATAATACTGCTTTTACAGAAAATATCAATTTATCTGTGCCATTAAGATAAACTACAATGGAGTAGGAAACGGGGGGGGGGGCTGACCCCCACTTTTCAATCTTTCCCTATAAAAATGCATCAAAATTAGGACAATTATTCTCAGGAAAATACATAAAATTTAATCTAAAGCCCAAGATCATATAAGGCCCTAAGGCGAGCCCTAGACCCCCGGCTGTAATGGGTGCGCTTGTGGCGCACATTCTCTCGCTTTACTCGGTCAAATAAACCTTGTTCCCACCCCCACTTTTAACTTATCTCCTACACCTCTGAACTATATGTGTTTTATTTACATTCATGCAAAGCGCATGACAGAAAACTTTCTAATTACAATATTAGGTTATTAGAATGGAAATGAATAAGGACAATAATAATGTTTCTTCTTACGCTTCTACACACAAAAAGTTCATCTTTTGTGATTTTAAGGTTATTTTGTGTCTTAATGATTTGAACCTGATTTATGTCTTCTCTATCGGCCATCAGTGTATATAACTGCAACAAAAGTTTGTGTTCATTTCGTGCAAGTACTAGAAGTTTTAATAATATTTATTTTCTGTCACATAATTGGAGTTTTCAACTCAACAGTATCTTGTGTGACACATGGACTAAACATGGACTATTAGAGACTTTAGTGTTCATATATAGCCGTTCATAATTTTGAACTACTGTTATGGTTTTTTAGCGCAAAGGTACGAAATGGACTATCTGCGCTCAGTCCACCGAGAGGAATCGAAACCCGTATTTTAGCATTGTAAGTCTATAAACTGACCAGAGGGAGTGTAACCAGGCAGTAGCACCCTTGGCAACAAGGATTTTGTTCAGCTTTTTGCAGTGGATAATAGGATTGACTGTCACTTTTTTAACGCACCCACAGTTGTAAGCGCGGAGCATATTTAGCAGCATCAAATGTCTAAACTAGGACTCTAGTTGTTAACTGCAAGGTCAGGCCACTTTCAATCGGTACCATCTTTATTGAAAAATTGATGGAATTAACGGTAATAGTACATTTTAGATAATTCAGAGATATGTTTCCTACAAGTGTAAACATCGAGGGCCAATCGTAGTTCTATTTGAAATATATTTTCTAATGTCGACATTTGTAACATATACTGTATACCATATTACACATTTCAAACCCTAAACACCAATAGAATAAAATTGTACTAATGGTTAAATACAATAAATTCTACAGTTTTGTCTGTCCAAGAGACTTAAATCGTTTTAAGATGGACAGAAGTCAATCCTTGTACTCAACAAATGTTAAATTATACAATGGAACAAGTTATCAATCATATTTGCTCACACGTTAATGCCTAAATTAACGCATAGAGTTTACAAGGCTAAAAAACAAACAAACAAACAAACTATGTTTTAATAGAAACTGGTTAATCCTCAAACCACTTATATGACTTATTTGTTTATAATGCGAATTATCTTGAACATGAGACAGAATGTTTTAGTTTCTTTAGTAGTGGACCTTCTTCAGAAGTGCTCTATACAAGATGACGTCAGTAGCGGTCAAATTGCCTATACTGCCGAAGCTCGTGAAAGAGGAGAGAGAAACGTTCTTGCTGGAATATCTAACAGAACTCGAACCTTGAACTACTGGCTTAAAGAATTGCACGCAGAACAAGAAAGGTGTGTCAGACGATTTATTTATGATATTTATGGTTCTTAATCATGCAGAGCTATTAATTATAATATCTTACCCATATGTTACCTTTCTTTGAAAAACTTAATATTCTACTGTAAAACTAATAAAAATCTAGTACGCAGTGGCGTAACCTAGTTTTACACTCGGGAGGGGGCAATAAATTAAAAGGCTGAAATTGATATAACTTTTTTTATGAAATGGTCATTAAAACAAATAAAATCAAATGTAATTGTGTTTATAGAAGTTTTATTTATTGTTTATTGAATGATACAAAACAGGTTTATTATATATATATATAAGCTGAAAATAATATATGATCAATATGCCTCGATTTTGCAGAGGGGGCTACACTTCTGCTTGTACGGTATTATAAGTCACAAAATTAGACTCATGCTGGAGTAAATATGGTAAGCTTGTATACAAAATTCACGTTAATTTTATTTTATGTTTTATTTAAAGAAACAGTTACTGAACTAGGCTGAGTATTAATATATGCTTTTCTTATTGTTTGTGGATCTATTATACACTTAAAACTGAGAATAAAGATTAAACAAAACCACTGTATTTTCCTTCAGTTTATGTTGTAAACTGGTGTTTTTTGGTAGGAGAAGAATTATAACAGTTTTAAGGTGTCATTTGTTTCCAAAATATTAAAGTTAAGTTCCGTTAAAGTGATTTATTAACCTGATATATTTAAAAGTTTTCAATACGTATTTCATTCATCTACCTGCTTAGAATGGACTATTAACAGCAAACCTAAGTAAAAGCGATGCCAGAATCTTTTGTTTAATTCACCGAAAAACGTGTACAATATTACATCAGGAACATTTGAAAAACAGTAATATATTTTGAAGAAATTTTATAAGCTTTGACTCTCTTCAACATTTATTATACAAGTATTCTTAATAAAAATTGGTGTTATTTTCATTGAACAACAACAACAAAAAAAAACAAAATTTTTTATGTTAATCTGTTATCTAATGACTGATCCACTGAGACAAGTTTTGCGTAAAACCTTTTCGGAGCATGCACTGGGTTTCCTGCTAAATAGGCCCAGCATGGCCAGGTGGTTAGGGCGCTCGACTCGCAATCTGAGGGTCATGGGTTCGAATCCCCGTCCCACCAAACATGCTCGCCCTTTCAGCCGTGGGGGCGTTATAATGTGACGGTCAATCCTACTATTCGTTGGTAAATAGTAGCCCAAGAGTTGGCGGTGGGTGGTGATGACTAGCTTCCTTCCCTCTAGTCTTACACTGCTAAATTAGGGACAGCAAGCGCAGATAGCCCTCGTGTAGCTTTGCGCGAAATTCAAAACAAACAAATTCTGCTAAATACATGCATATGTCAGTAAAACGGTATATTTGAATAAGGACAAAGACAATTTGTTGTATTGTATAAATGAAACAATTAATTTTAAATTGGATAGAAATGTTTAGGCATTTTAACAATGAAGATGCATGATGTAAAAAATAAACATTAGTGAAAAAAATAGTTCATTAGTTACTTAAGAGTAATAAGAGAGATAGATAAATTAAATTCTAATTTACAAGACGGTATGAATAAACAAAGGTGAAATGGGCAGCAATTGCTTAGTTCAAAATGACGTTTGTAGAGAAAGTCTCTCAGGACTAGTAACTCAAATAAAAAGAACGACGTTTCTAAAGACTTCTGTTTTTCGTTTTCGCATTAGAAACATCGTCCTTTCTACCTGAGCTACTTGTGGAGATTAGTATTCTAGAAAACTTTCTCTAAAAGTGTTATTCTGAACTAAGCATTTGCTGATCATTTTACTTTTGTTTGTTCATCATGAGTACTCATCTAAATCATCTTACGATATTATGTTTCAGTCACCCTCAGCCATAAAGAATCTAGTTTACATCTGAAAGAAATTATTAATACGAAGGAAATACGAACATAAAGAATCTGTGAATCTGTTGACTGGTTTATTGAAATACTACATAATTTTGCTTACGTGTGCAACAACAAAAGATTTAATGAAATACTATAAATGTTTGTTTACCGATGTAAGAACAAAAAAGATCTCAAATGCATTTTTGTTTTGGACATGGCTGTAATGTACAACAAAAAGGGTTGCGTATATCAAAATTCTTATTTAACATTTTACTTGCTTCTCAGGACTTTCCACAATTTTTAACAACTTCACTGTAGTTAGATAAGTTTTTCAAGTGATCATCAGGGCCGGTAGAAGGTAAGACTTCCCTTAATTATGGGAATTTTCCGTCTCTTAGCTATTTTAATTCAACACAAAAATGTGAATACAAACAAACACATGAATATTTTCTAAACACCACTAAAGGGCCAATAGAATCTTAAGGTACAAAGATTAGCGATACCCCGGCTTCTTTATTTGTTTGTTTGTTGTTAGGCGCGAAGCTACACAAATGCGGTTTCCATAAACAATTAATGTGTCAAAACATGTTTGTGATAAGCCAATAAGGAAATATCTGCTCCCCATCGGTGGGTCAGTGATAACTTTGAGGGCTTATAACGCTAAAAATGGGGTGTCGATACTTGCAGTGGGCACAGTACGGATAGCTTATATATACGAAAATAAGAACAAGTATTAGTTCAAAACCACTGTAGTTAACTTTATCAAACTTTTCACATGATTTTACGACGATTAACTTTTTTCCATGAAGGCATCCCCCCCCCATCATCCCTGTACAGACTGTTTATTGTGTAGCTTTGCATTTAAAAACAAACAAACAAACAATATTCATGAGGGTTTATAAGGCCAATACAATTTATTCATGGAAGTTATCCCCAAGGGGAGATAAAGTGCACTTAAAGTCTTAATTGCGCTAATTGTGGTGCCTTTGATTGCTTTAATCTACTCATGAAATTATGAAGTTTTTCAAATCTAAGTTTTAGACTATTTAAATAATGATGCAAGTTGTTTGATTAAATAAGTTATATTTTATTCATATTGCTGTATACATAAATCTATCAAACAACTAAGTAATAAAAGAGCAAACAGCGTTTCATGGTACAGAGAAATATATACACATATATCACAAGCCAGAACGATGGATAACCCTATCTGTGGAAATATGACACACTTTGGTTCAACCTTTATTCACATGTCACACGTATAATCAAACTGAAATACTGTGTGTAGTTAAACTAATGTCGTTCACATTTCAGCCACCCTTTACTCTCTGGAGCGAATTATGGGTCACGCCCGGACGTGGTCTGGTGGTTAGTGTGATCTGTCGTTCACATTTCAGCCACCTTTTCGTCCAGGCCTGCCCCATAGTTCGCTCCAGAGAGTTTGTCTGGTGGTTAGTGTGATCGGATTGTGAATCCAAGAGTTCATAGTTCGCCGCAAAAACGCGCTACACCCTTTGGGGTCGTGAGTGCAGTATAAGAGTGGTGATAAGATTCTACTCTATGGTAAGTCGAGAGTAGCGTAACAATCGGTGATGGATGCACGGACGCAAAGCTTAAAAAGGTATTGTTTATTTGAGGCATTATGGAATAATTCTATGAAACGGGCCCTTTCAGTTTTAAGCGTTTTAGATGGTTACTGTCTATTACACAATACTGGAGAATGGAGGCTGTTTAATACTAATTGTTTAATCACTTCCACAGGCTTGCGCCCGTGGATTTAGTCGAGTTATAGAGCAATTAAAGGTATTTTTTACATCTACTTTTCCAGATCTGTAGAGGAAGTTACCCAACTGAAAAAAATTCGAAATATTCTACAGAAAGCCTTTAGACACACGAATATTCCGCTGTCTGTGGCCCTGGCATGTAAACGATATAGAGCTCGTCGAGTTACAAATCAGCAAGAGGTAATCGACCAGCAACTCGATCAGGTGATCTTACTATCCAATTGTATTTCAGATAGCAGTTTTAAACTGCCAACAAAATAGCTCTTTATACACGTTCTTTGTCTGTTTTATTTGTTTTCAGTAAAGAACTAGTTATTATAACAATTTCAAATAATGACAATGATTAATATAAAAAAAGCGCATGGCTGAAAAACAATTCTTAAAACCTCTACAATGGGAGGATAACATTACACCATACTGCACAGAAAGGGTGTACAATTCAAATGGCATTACAAATTTTGCAGGCGCAAGCATTTAGTAATTTTAATCCCGCATTTACCTTACATACCGTAAAGTCACCGCCAATAGATATGCGATATATAAATGTAGTCAATATTGTGTAAACGTACACTAAACGAAAGGTGGAAATAAACAGAAAACGTGTAAATTAAATGATTCCTAATCCCATATACGACAATGAGGACAAATAAACAAGACTTCTGTATATCTATGCGTATTTTGCACCCACTAGATTGCGCCAGTATTAGCCATTAATTCTGTATTCAACAACAACAAAAATTCTGTATTCCATATTATTTTTTTTTAAATTGTGCCCACTTTAAATGATCCTGATCCATTAGCTAAATTACTAACGCTGCAATTCACGTTTGTTTGTTTGTTATTAAGCACAAAAGTATACAATTGGTTATCTGTGTTGTGCCCACCACTGGTATCGAAACCCGGTATTTAGTGTTGTAAGCTTTTAGAGTTTCTGCCGAGCCACCAATAATAACACTTAAAAGTTACAATCATTTAGTTATAGATTAACAATTTATCTAAAAGTTTCTTACTTTTACTTGGCGTGGACTGTCCCTGTGGTAGAGATCTGGAGTTTGAAGCTGGTGAACCGCCTTCGAATCTGTGTGATACCACAAAATATTTCCCGCAATTTAGGCTGTGGGTGTGTTATAAGAGTGACAGCCAATCATTTAGCGTGGATGACAGGTGGTAGGGTGATGGTGACTGGTTTCCTTCCTTCAATAGTCCAAAATTAGGGATGGCAGCTGATAGCCTCAGTAGCTTTGCTATAAATACAAATATTTTTCATGTATCGCTGTGATTAGTCAAACACGAAGGGCTAAAGGTGATTCAATGATATGGTAGTATGGACAACGTTTCTCATCCACAATATTTCAACAACTTTATCTTTTCACCATCTTTTCTGTCGTTTGGAGTTACTGCTATACACCATTTTTGATCTCTACTGTTCATTTTTTGTTCTCATTCTACTGGTAGGAAATATTCTTCTTCTGGTAAGGCTTAGGAGAAACCAAAAAACGTGATCGTAGTATGCTCTACGTTACAGCAATCTTTTCCACGAGAAAGTGTGTGTGATACCATAGAGGTATAGCCCAGAACAATAGGGAACTAGGGCAAAAATAACCTAGCTACTTCTTTGACCAAGGTTCTACTTTAAACTTACATTAAAAATTTTGAAAAACATTTAAGATGAACTTTAAGAGTTCACTTTATTAAATAAAGGAGGCAGAAAATATCTAGTATTTTTGAATACTACTGTAATAATGTACCCATTGTGGCATAAAAGCAGGAATAATAGGAATTTCAATACTGAATGCTTAATGAAGAGGTTGAAAACGCATAAAAGTTTTGTATCATTAGCAATATGATTCACCAGTTAAATGACAAAAATTTCCATTTCTTTGCATCTTCTGTGGATGTTATAGTTGAGTTGTTTCATGCCGATCTGTAATCACATAAAACATAAAAAGAATTAGCGTTGAATATTTTGCTAAATTTGTTTCCATCCTGAAAAAAGTGTCTCTCCTCTATATGAAGCAGGACATAGCCCCGTAGCTAACATGCCTGGACTGTGGTCAGAGGGTTCATGATTCGCCGTCCGTTGCCAAACAATGTACTCTGCACTTTATTGTCATGGGAGTGCGATAAGGATGATGGTCAAATCCCACTCTACTGTCATACGAGAGTAGCGCAAGAGTTGGCGGTGGGTGCTGTTGACTATCTGCCTACTTCATGACTTATCAGCTCATAATGAGGGACGATTATTCGCAAAACTTCTGAAATAAGCACATCTATAAAACAACAAGAATCGAAGTGTAAATGTCAAAGTTAGGGCTGCTGAAATAAGAATGCCAGAGCTGAGATAAACATCTTATTAGAGTGAAGGATCATCATTTGTCTACCAGAATGAGTCAGCATCTTTGTTCACTCTATTCGTGATTTTGATCATTTTAATGACTCTGGTTACAATTCAAATAACCTACTGTTTTTGTTTTATATAGGTAACATAACAGAAACAAGTCACCGTTAACAGACATGTGTATCCAAAGAATGTTTCTTGTTTGGCTCTTAGTTATGGCGCCATTATCGACGTTATGAGTCAACTTAGTGAATCGTTGTTGTTTTTCATATAATTTTTATATTTTGTCATTTTAACAAAAGTTTCGATGTTAACCCTTGACAACACTTTTTCTATAACCAAATTGATTTTTAAAATCCTTCTCGTTAACTACATTCAAGTGATCAAAATTACAATTTTAAGATTAGTTGAAAAGATAATTTTTTATTTCGTGTGTGTATTTAAATAGATAATTAGTTCTTGAAGTAAGAAGTTATGAGAATTTTTATTTTTATATCCTTTAATGTCAGCGAGTGATTGTTAATTTTCTTCTTGATTAAACGACAATCAAACACGGATTTTAAAATTACACGTTATAAAACTTTTCTAGGAAGTTGCTTTCTTTCAAGCTCAACAAGAAAAAATGAGCAAATTCGAAGAAGAGATGCAGTCACTACAGAGGTAATTAGGACAATAAGTTATTTCTCGATAGAGCTTAACTGGTCATTTTCACACTTCTGAAAAGTTAGAATGTATGTCATTAAAGCTAGATACAGGGTTGAAGATTTCATAAATTATACTTTTGTCCTCAAGCAATTTTGTTATATTTAAATCAAACATTTTCATGTGTGGAATAGTTTCAAATTTATTTTAGTTATGTATATGTACGACTCCAGGTTGAGTAAATATTAATTATTGTGAATTTTTGCTATGGTTTATAGATATATGAGACATGACCTCGTCGGAAAGATTTGGCTCATTAGTTATAGTGTTGACATTACTAAAAAGTACACATTTTCTTGTCTTAATTAGAATGTGTTGATACTTTTATGATGGAGTAATGATGTAATGTAGCATGAATACTAAAACTAAAAAGTGCAGATGTATGTAATGGTAGTTATAAAAATTAATGTAACTCGAACAATTTTGTTATTAAAGAATATGACGATCCATTAATTTATGATTTTACCTGAAGAGGTTTTTACGATTCTATAAACAGTCATCATGCATTTTACAGTTTTTGTATATCAACATAATATCAAAATACACTTTACTATAGGATGATAATGATTGTCAAAATTTATATTATATATATTTTTTCAGTTTGTAGACATTTAATTATCTGAGTGAGCGAATTAGAAATGTACCTGTATGGCGAAACATAGATTCGGGCAACATTTAGGATTTTCCAAAACAAGGACTAAGTTGAAAAGTAAAGATATTTTGTTAAATATGGTGGTGTATTATAAGAATAACAAAGCAACATGACGCTGAAAACCTTCGTAATAGAATGAATAAAGCGACTGTATTATAAATAATTGTATACCTTGTATCCTTCAGCTCGGATGGCATGACGTACTCGCTGATTTTTAATCCAGATCACCTGATAAAACACTCGTATAAACTTAAAGCTATATAACTATGAAAAAATTCAGCTATTTAAGTGAAGTGAGTATTCATTTGTTATCAGACGCTACCGTAGTTTCTGGTCGCTGACTCTCAGTAGTAAAGAAATATGTGACATTTGAGGTCATTAAGTGAAGTATATTTATAAATCACTTATGTAATGTAGATTATATCTGAAAAACACTTGAAGTCACACATTGAATTATCCACCTTATGTTACTTGAAACCTTTACATTTACTGTAGCTCTTACGGTCTGACGTTGAAACAAGTGTCACTGGTAGAGAAGAAATGTCACGTTTAGGTTTGTTCACATGGCCAACTTTGTCCTTATATAATGTTAAATTGAATCTATCAGTCCACTGCACTTGAAGGTAAACTAGTGTTTTTTGAGATTAGTTATATATTATTTGTTAAAAATTTCCCTATACGGATCAGAAAGAAACAAGGAATTAAACTATTCACACAGAAGCATCAGATAAAGCAAAAACAACAACAATAAAATACAGTAAGTAAATATACCCATTGTCAATGCTAAATAAAAACGGCAGTTAAACACATTATACAACAAACAAAATCTAAAACACAATAAGTAAATACATCCACTGGTAGTATAAAGTATAATTCAAGAGAAAGTCATAATGCCAAATGACCTGATAACCTAAAACACAGATCTGTCTACCAAACGAATAACAACAATATTGGATTCTATTTTTACCGTTTAAATTATACAACTCAGATATTTTTATCCATTCTGCACACGCTTAATACTTTGAATGCCTTTAATTTAGTGGTTAGATACTCAATTTCGTACAATGTCGTAATTTGTTTTTCTATTTTCTCTGGAATAGTAATATTGAAAATATAGAACTTGACCTGAGAGACTGTGTTTTGAAGAAGGTGGACAATCTGTTAGTCAGTCAAGATTGTTCTCGCCGTGACACTTCTTTGAGAAGAAATAACTACCAAAGAATAACTTCAGACAAAACAGTGTACGTAAAATCCTTTTTATTAACTATCTGTGAAACATGTCAATATACAAATTATAACAACACAAGTACTGAGGCAGCACACTTCAGCCTAATAATGCGCCAGTCTCCTTTGAGTTTTCACACAAATCCCATAATGCACTGCGGGGTATAGATTATAAACGACAACAGCTTCCATAAACAGCCAAGTTAAGCAATCAGCAAAATAATGCCATTAAAACAGCCTTTCGCCTGCCAAAATACACCCCGCATGAATACCCCAATAAACTTTCTTATATCCTCCCCATTAAACAACGTATCTTCAGACTTGTACATAGATATTATAAGTCTAAGTCACGTAACATTGATAGAACCCTCACTTGGAGAACTCTAAAACATTTTTATTCAAACCTTTATCAGCCTATTTGGCTCTTATAAAATAACCAGTCTCCCGATGAAGAGAACCTATCTCTTCTGAGCATCCTTGATTTTACTGTAAGCCTCAATTCTCTTTATGTGCTTTGCATGAATTTCAATCGAAATATCCGCCAAGACTGGATTGTATTGAAACAGGCAGTTGGAGTCCAGACACAATGAAAACAAGGAGCTCGAAGGTCTTCAAAGAGAAACAGTTCTTGGATTCAAGCACTGGTGGTAAGAGCATCCCAGAATTATACGATCGCCTGTTCAACCTCAAATCTATTGTAGGAAGGTGTTTAAGAAATGAAAGGTGACTGGAAATGCTTATATGGAAAACTCGATCAGTCAGTTTATCACTTTACAGTCCATGTAGTTTTGAAAAATGTTATAAAAAGAAACCCCCAATCTAGCATCAAATTCATCACCTACGACCATTTTAATATAGTTCAAGGTTGTAGGGAACTCTATGCTGCTGGATTTCATAGATTGGCTGCAGTCCATAAGCCGCTTCTCATAACCATGAATGTAAGGAATTTGTTTTCATGGTGGTTTCAGCATTAAAAGTGGGCGAAGAACATTGTTAGTGATTAATTCAGACTATTTTGGTTTTCTTTGGATGGACAAGTCTAAGTTTTATGGACATTTTGTGCATGAAAATGATGTTTCAGACATGAAAAGTTTTCGAACAATATTAGGGTGTGGGTTGTTTTAGCTGACCTAGACTTGGTTCACTTAAATAGTTGACAGAGTCATGAATGTCTTTTTGTATTATGTGTGACATTCTGGACAATGTTGCATTGCCTGCATCACTGAAAGACCACACTTTTTTCTGCATGATCGTACAAAAAAAAAATGTCATGTCAAGTATTGGTTTGAGACAAACAACGTCCAGAATTTGACTTGGTTAGTCCAAATCTACTTTAGTGTGCACTAGGATTCTGCTTGAGGAATAGAGTGTACAGACATTCTACTGCACTTGAACTTGCTCGTTAAGAAGGGTGGCAATCTATTCCGTTGGTGGCAAGTGTTAGTATGTTGTTCAGGCTTTGATTAATACCAAAGGTAGATCCACTTTTTAGTGAAATGGGGTTAATGGAAAAGCAATCCAATTCACTTAATATAGAAAAACGTATAAGATTGTTTAATTACTTCAACGACATCTTATGCACACGGTACCCCTACGTACCTGACGAAAGGCACCTAGTCGGCATCACCACCGCTTGAAATAGCTATTCTTCACCCAGTAGTGCAACTGAATTTCACTCTCATAATGCACCCACATCTGAAATTACTTGAAATATTTTGTGGTATTGTACAGATTAGAACTCGGCTCACCAGTTCCAAAATTCAGAGTCAATTCGTAACACATAAGTACTGAGAAACTTCTAAATAAATTGTAATTTTTGTATTGGTGGATTGCAATTTTTTATGCTTTATCATTTTATTTATTTGTGAATAATTTTGGCATGTTTGCTAGCATCTTGTCTCGAACCGGTACCCTCGGATCCTCAATCTAATACGCTAACCACTAAGCTAAACACGGACCAATTATTTAGTTAACGCTCGATACGATGGTGAGTTAGGCATTATAACGTACAAACTGCCCAGATTTTATGACAATTAGAAGCACAAAAAACACCAGCAACAAAACAAAACAACTCAATATGTGATAAGGTCCGATTGTGTATTTATCATATGAATATTAATACGTAAATGTAATTTGTCTAGCTATCAAATCTTCGGTATATCTTCGTCATGTGTTACATTTCACTTTTTTATCGGGGATTATTTTAAGTCAGAGATATAAAAATAACAAATATTTCACATAAGTAGTGTAAATAAAATTGATTTTAAACTATTCTCTTTTAATTTTTTGCCATTTACTTTTTTTG